TTTATATTGTTTTTTTTTCTTTTATGCTTCTGTGCTTTTGGTGTCATATCTAAAAACCATTGCCTAATCCAAGGTCACAAATATTTCTGCCTATGTTTTCTTCTAAAATTTTTATAGTTTTAGCTCTTACTTTTAGGTGTTTTATCCACTTTGAGTTGTTTTGTATGTAGTATGAGATAGGAGCCCAGCTTCATTGTTTTGCATGTAAGTATCCAGTTTTCCCAGCACCACTTGTTGGAGAGTAATTAACGTTATCATTAGACATCATGTAGCTCAAAGTGGCAGACATCAACACTATGTCAAGAAAATGTAGTTTGACGTGTACAAGAATGACTCTTAACATCCAGTTCCATAGTAAATGCTTATATTTCCTTAATGACAACATTCCAGCAGAGCCCCTTAAAAGTTTGTTTGTTTGTATGTTGTTTGTTTTCTGTATGTGCGTGTTTGGAAGCAGTGATGTGGATGTGGAGAATGAGTGGATTTTAAAATGCACATAAAACCTTCACTTATTGGATATATAGTTTGTGCCAGGTATTGTACTAGACTTTGGGAATGAAAGGATAGGCCTGCTACAGAGTAGCGTTTCAGTTAATAATTATTGAAGGATTGGAGATAGCTTGGAAAGAAGATATAGTCCCTACTTTCTAGAAAGGTGCAGAAAGATAAATGATATAATATGAAAGGCTATAACTGAAGCGTAATATGTGGAGCAAGCTAGGAACAGAGGGCACTGACTATATAGTTAATCCAATTGGTTAAAAGTGAGTAGAAGTGGAAAGCACCTTGAAGATTAGCTGATAATGTTGCTACAGTTTTCTGTTATTATTGAAATATAAGAGAAAAATTAACTATAGACATTTGTTTCTCATTTTCAATTATGACTTCTATTCATTTACTCTTTGGCAGAATAGGTTTCTTGCCTTTGATATTGAATATAGCTGCAGAGGAGACAGCTTAGAAAATCAAAGATCTAATTTCTCTCCAGTGTTCATGTTATACTCTCCTAATAAATGGCTGTTTAAAAAAAAACAATTTTTAAAATTTAATTACTATTTATTGCCTTTTACAATTTCTTCCAAACTCCTCTTCATCTTTCCCATTTGGGGGCAGAGGAATAAATAAATGCTACTTCATGTTTGTTTGTTTTTTAACTCATATGAATTCTTGTTTAGTTTTTTTGGGCACCATAAGACTAGGTAAATGGTACAATATCAAGAAAATCATTCCCAAAAGATTCATGCAGTTGAATTTCTTGTTTAATGTGTACTTTATCAATTTAGAAAAAATATTACCTTTTTAAAAATACTTAGTTTCAGAATGGTATCCAATATTTATGAGGTTCATTTAGATATGAATATCAAGCACTTGGACATTCTGAGAAAAATCACACTGTGGATTGTGATTTTTAAGCTAACAAAGAAAACTTACACTGTTTTAAACCTACTCTCTGTTTCCTGTGAGACAGAGAATCATAGTTTTCACTGTCACTGAACAACTGTGAAATCTGTGCTAATATAAGCATAGCCTCTACGTGTCCTGACAAGTTTGTACCATTATACATGTGTAAAGGAATCAATAGCCTCTTTCTATTTCCACGCATTGTATTTCACACAGGTGTTATAAACAAAAGAAAATCCAAGTCTTTATTGCCCAAGAACAGATTCATTGATAGATTCGTTAATTTGTTTTGAAGTTACCATTGCCCCTTTTTTTGCTATACTTTTGATCAAAAGAAAAAGATCTGTGTATTTTGAATGAATTAATACCTAAATCTATTTATTAAGTCCCCGTTATATTGGCTACTCTTAAGGATTACTACTTACAAGAGAAACGAATCCTGTTGAATTCTAAATGTGTGATGTATGTAAGGTTTATTTTCTTGTATATCCGGGGTGAGCCTTTGGTGGACACTTAACATGAGACTATCAGAAATGGAAGGTACTTAAGAAACTATGTGGTCCAAATTTTCTCATTTTCTAAATAAGGAAATAGAGACCCAGAAAAGTGACTGGATTGCCTTTGGTTGCATATCCCATTAGTGGCTGAGTAATTCTGAGTACAAACAATAGGATCTCAAATAAATATAGTATTCTGCCTGTGGTTTGATTGCATTCTCTTGAATATGAGTCCACTAGATGAGATAAATACACTTCATTTGACTCCTCATACATCTGACAATTTTATAACTAAGAAAACACAAACACAGTCTAATTACTGTGTATACAAATGATCCTCTACATTAAGTCCTCTACATTTTTATGAGGATGAAAAGCTATTTTAAAAGCACCTTTACAGAAGAAAATTTGTCACTCTTTGATTATCCATTTTCATGTTTAACAGCCTTCACTCTCAGAAATATTTCCTTATGTCAGAAATTTTCATATTTGGGTTCCATGAATCCCTAAGGAATCCGTAGTATGTGGGTTTATGAACACCTTCAAATTATGTGCATAATTTAGTTCACAGCTTTTGTAAATTTCTCAAAGAACCACTACCAAGATCAACCTGGATTCTCAGTCTGTAAGTTTGTCATGTTTCTTTTTGCCTTATCTTCCTTGGAAGACACTTGCTATCCTCTATATTATAACTCTCTATTAATTTGGAGATTATTACTGTTTCCAAATGACGAATTTCAGATCAGTTTAACTTTTCTCATAGGCTCTTTTCTCCACATATTAAATTATTTATATGGCTGTCTTTTGAACCCTTTCCAAATTCTTTGTAAACCTGAAAACATAAGAGCTCAGAATTAGAAATCATATAGTAATGAAGATCTAGTTGAGAAACTTGGATCTTCTGACACTGGTGTCAGAGGACTAGGGGCAGTAGAAGTAAGACTACTGAGATATGTCCAGGAATGCCCCACCCACCCCCTCATGTAAGTTAGGCAGAAACTCTAGTCAAAAGAGAGGATAAGGGGCCCAGGGAAAGTTTAAAAGGATTGGGCACATTTCAAAGTTCAAAGCATACTAAATAGACCCTGAATGAAGGAAGTCGTCAGAATAGGGAGTAGGAATCAAGCCCAGACCTAAACGTGAAACAGATCCCACAGAAAATCAGCATATGATCAAACTGCCACCATTCTTAGTAAAATCAATCCAATCTTCCAGTATTGGGACTCATCACATGGGGATTGGCTGCTGGACCTTGCCATACAATTGCTTGTCTCCCAGATATACCTTCTCCTGCAACCTCTGCTGTCACACTAGCTCCCCAATGTTAGATTCCTCAGTTATGTTCCCAAGAGGTGTGACGAATAGAAACAGTAGGATGGGGTTTACACGCTATGATATATAAAGTATGTTATCAAAATCACTGGGGTTGGGAGCGACTACAGACAATTCTGGGACTCTGATGAAAACTGTGGTTCTCTCCTGAAGGAAGGCAGGCACCAAATATATATCATTTAAATATTTTTTATACAATTTAACCTGCTCTGAAACTGATTCATGGTTAATAACTCCCGATTGAGAAATGCGGTATCTATATTTCTTATCTATTTGTTTCCTGCCCTTTATTTTATATAATTGTTTCAGTTGCTATCTGAGCTATCTATCTGTGCTAAGGAATTTTAGGCATGTAGTTTCTAAATGTACGCCTAAAGATTAATGGGGAAAACAGCAACATGAAGCCATAGCACTGGTGACAATAGTAATTTGGGAGGGATCCTTAATGGGCATGGTGAATTTTGGGGGGTAAGAACTGTGCCAAAGAAGTCCAGCAACCCCTTCTCACTGGGTGATTGATTCTACCTCTGTTCCTACACTAGGGTCTAGGTTTTATTTTATTAGCAAAGAAACAGTTCCTTTATGAATCATGCAATGAAACACTGATACTGAGCCAGTTAGTTTTCAGTGGTTCCTCTTACAGCAGCTTCCAGCTCCCAAGCATGGCTGGCTTAGGCCCGCAGGCAGTGGGTGAGACCTTTTCTTAGAGTAATGTGAGAGAAGGAAAAATGGCTTTGGTGAGATAGTCTGAACTTCATTCACAGCTGTTTGTGGCTATACAGAGGATGCCAAAAAAATGTATACACATTTTAAAAAAGGAAACCTGTATTACAGTTGTAATAATATATGCCTATAACAAAAGATGAATGCAAGTCACGTTTGACTTCTGCAATTACAAGAGGTGCTCGAAGTGGCTACCATCAGTGTCCAGACACTTCTGATTATGGCGAGCTACTGCTTGAGCAACGTTGACCAAAGTGTCCACTTGTATACATTTTTTGGCACCCCAGTGTTGCTAATTTTACTCATCCATATCCAGTGGCAGGCCTTCTGACTCTTATCTATAGGTGTTAAATATATAAGATTGAATTTAGAGAGTAATTATCTGGATAATTCAAGTTGAATAAAACCTCATTTACCACAAATTTTAAGCCCTCTGAAACAGAGTACCTGAATTATCCAGTTAATTCTATATTTATATACCACTTAAAAAAGAAAAAAAAATTTTCTTTTTAAATTATAGCAAAAAAAGTCTGTTTGAAGAAAGAATTCCCAAATGTATAAATATTTAAATTTAAAGGTCTAATAAGTGTATAACAATCCAGTCTCCACCTTTTGCTTTAACTGTTTTTTTTTTCTCCCTTTACTTGATCTCTTCAAATCCTGTCTTTTTTGAAGCCCAGTTTGCAGCAGCCTACCCTGAGATAATATTTTGGAGTATAAATGAGATAATCCAGGCTTGCCTTTAGCACAGGGCCTGGAACATAATAAACAATATGTATGTTAGCTGCAAAGGATGATAATGGTTATGATAATGCTTTTCTCAAATACTGTGGTCAATATTTAACCTCCTTATTCTCTGACCATAAAAATGCTTACTGCCTAGACTGCTTTTTGACACTTAGTATCCTAGTTTAGATGTTATTTTATCTCCTAATGAGATTGTAAATTCCTTCATACACAATATAAAACATACTGAACTGGATTGAAAATTGTCATTTACTTTCTTTACAAGCCATGTGGTCTTCATTTGGATTATTTTTTCAACAGAAAATGAAAACACTAGCAGAAAGGAGGAGGAGTGCTCCATCTCTAATTCTGGATAAAGCACTACAAAAACGGCCTAGTACCAAGTAAGTGAAAAGCTTTGTATGCGTTACATTTTTTTTATGTGTGCAGTTGTTTGTTTGTTTTTTTTCATTTGTTATCAGCACCAGAACTCTGTTTAATAATAGAAAATATGACTTCTGTCCTGTAGTTATTTAAAAAGGCTTATTCTTTTTGTGAATCAGAAAGCCTTTTACAGCTGGTATGTAGGATCAATTGTTTTAAAACTGATTCAAAAGTGGATCACATCACATAGTACACAAAAATGAAAAATGTAGGTTCCATGTACTGTTAAAATTTATTTATAAAAACAATTAAAAATCAAAACACTAAAATATGAGTTATTTCAACCATCGTACATGTATAGTGATGCACAAACCATTGCCTATTTTTTTATCATGAGGTGATTCCCATGCATGGGTATAAGGCAAATTTTTACCAGTTTTAGATGTGAAGAAAGATAACCAGATTGAGATTATTAAAAAGTGGAGTGTGGACTTCTTTTAGGCATTATTGGTTAAATTAATTAGTGAAATTTGAAATGGAAAAATAAGCTAAATATCTATAGAAATGGCCATTTCACCTGTTGAGGCTGAATACAATTTCAGTGGACATTTTAAGAAAAACTATTATAATGTGTAGAAATTGAACCTGTATTCAATCATTAATTTATTCAATAATTTTTAAATGGCATTTTAACTCAGAGGTGTTTTTATGTTCAAAGGAATACTATGATGATTTTCTCTTAATTTGTGAATCCTTTTATGTAAGGAAAAGTGTTTCTTTACATAAATAAACATGGTAAACCTTTATTTAAAGTGAGGTTATATCTGATATTTCTATGAATGATGTACTAACTTAACATAAAATCTATATGGAGGCATGACATTTTTTTCAATTCCAGAATAAATTATATAGCTAAATCCCAGTTAGTTAAACTTTGAAAATACTTAGGTCATTCTCAGTCCTCAGCAAGTTCTTAGACTTAGGCAGCCCCCTACCTGCCCTGCAAAAGACACTCATTTTAGTCATTGGGTTGTTCAGGAAATATAAATTACTTTTAATTAGAAATATATCATGACAAGTAAATAATACAGTAATACATTTCAGGCCCATATATATAAATGATTTTTGGATTATTTGCATTAGTGTATCTTTGCATTAGTGTAGATAAAAGAGAATGTTATATCTTCACAGTTTGACCTTGATTACCCTGAAAACTTAGGAGAAAGTATTTTTAGAGGAGGTAGAGAGGAGACAGAATTATCAGTAAATCTGTCTTTAATTCTACTACGTATGTAAAAATAACTATTAATACTTTTTATTAAACCATTTTAGGTAAAATTTCTTATTGGAAGCTTCTGGAATGGATGCATGCTAGGCTTTTCAGCTAAAAGTAGCCTTTATATCAGAGAAGCTTTAGCCTGAGATCAGAGGCAATAGTGGCCCACCTACTACCTAACCCAGGGCAAGAATCTATAACAGTAGGATTGTAGATAATGAAAGCTCATAGACCAATGGTTCTCAACAAGGAGGTATTAACCTCTATGCGGCATTCTGGAATTTGTGGAACATTTGAGTTTGTCTTGATTTAGTGGGCAGTGGCCAAAGATGCTAGGTATCATGTAATGCACAGCATATCCTACATCACAAAGAATTGTGTGATTCCCACATACTTTATGAATGTCCCATATATGGCATATTTGTGAAGGGGAGAAATCTTATATAATTATCTAAGCCTGTAACTTAACTCTATTTTATATATAAATACAAAGTGTTTCTATATATTTTTATATAGTTTTTAAAAACACTAAATTTTCCAGAAATGCAGCTACCTTGCCTATCGAGATAATTGTACTTTGTATTGTTTGGAATCATTTCAGAAAATCACTTGACTTTACTTCATTTTCCTGTACTTGTTGCATGGAATGGTTTCTTATCATCCTACTTCTCTTAAATTTAAATATGTTAATTATAATGAGGTATAAGCATATGACTACTTCATTATCTTTTAGTATAGTCATGCCTGAGCATATACATATTGAAATACATAATTTATTATTAATTACTTTCATTTCATTTTCTTTCATATTACTGTTAGGGTATTTTATTGATACTTTTGAAATTCTGTTAAATATTTGTGAATTTTATTTCAGGATAGAAAAGGAGAAATTGAAATAAATGTATATGCAGACTTTTATATAACAAAGGGGAATTAGGTCTAATAGGCTTGAGAGCAACTGATGTAGATGAAACGCCAGGTTAGAAAAAATGCTAACACTTACTGAGTTACTGAGATTATTTTGAGTTAGAGAACCAGTATAATAATACACAGCCATCTCCTGCCCCACTCCTGACTCCCATCACCTCTGCAGTAATTGGTGCTTATATTAGAGCCAGTACCCCAAATTCCTGCCTCAGAAATATGGTGGGTTTTGTGTCAAAATAACCACAGGAAAAAAAAAGTTGAAGTTGTATATGTTCTAATCTTCAGTTTATTTCCTATGAGTTTCTCTAGGTCAGTAATATAATGCTTAGTCCTGGGGAACAGAACCTTTACCTATCTTACGAAATAATGCTTTTACTCTGTGTGGTGTTGGTGGTTAATGTATACTACGTCCCTCCCCCCGCCAGAAAAAAACTGTTGAGTGTTAAATGTGTACAAAGTATTTGCAAGTAATGTAATCCCAGGATTGGAAAGAGCCTTAAAGGTCATCTAGTCTGGTGGTTTCCAAACCTTTCTAAATCAGTATTCTGCACTGGGACCCAGGCATCTGCATATATTTCAAAAACTCTTCATGGTTGATTCTGATAAACTCTTGATGGAGACCACTGTGGCAAGCTACAAAAGAAGCTATTCTTAAAAGAATGTTTTTAAAAAGAACACTGAAACAGGATTTCAAACAGTATAGAATCGTAATACATATTTCTTATAAAACAAACAAAGTGGACATTATAAAACACAAAGCAAAGCCCCCACCCCATCCCAGGGGTAACCAGTTATTAATTATTTGCATGTCCTTCCTAAACCCTTGTCTATGCAAATGTGATTAGAATTTTTATTTGCTTTCCCTAATGTTTAAATTTTCACTTTAACATAGATATTAGTTGTTTCCAGTTGGAAGTCTTTTTAAAATTAGAGATCAAATCCTACTATAACAGTCATTCAAGAAAATATTAGAATTTTGTCCATCTTTATATATGTTCCTGAAAAGTTACATAAATCAGATTTTTATTATTAATGAACTTGCTATTTTAAAGAAACCCTATAGTGAATTGTTTTATAAAGAGCTTTTTCCAAAGTTGTTAAAAATACGTAACTTCAAATTTTCATAATTAGAATTTTGCTTTTCTATCCGTTATTTCTAGGAAACATGAAAATTTCTAAAGTCCAAGCTGATACCACACATATTTCAAGTTGAATGTTATACTGTACAACAAAATTCTAGTATCTAAAAAGAATTTTATATTACATGTACTATTCATGGAAAGTAATCTATAAATGGTTCATGTACAGTGTGGGAGCAGGCAGCAAAGAAATAGTGTTTTTCATTTATTAGCATTGCATATTTCTTGAATAAAAACAGAGTCATCATAGCATTTCATATATCTTGAATTACACCCATATTGATTTTGGCTTTGCAGTAGAACTTTACTATTTCCACTATTGTCCCCTATGTAAAGTGCTATGTAGTAATTAATGACTTTTAGATAATAAAGCCTTTGTCCAACGTTTAGCAAACATTCATGAAGAATTTAAAAGAATGCTTTCATTTAACAACTGTGTTGCACCTCAGTTTTTATTGAATTTAATGAACAAGAGCTAGGTTTAAAAGAGGAGGAAAGAGTTAGGTTAACTGGTGAGTTAACTGTGTTTATGTGTTAATTAAATGCAGTATTCTTTGATCAACCCATAGAATATATAAGGAGAGGCAGTTTAGAGATTTTAGCATTTTGTTGTATATGGACACTCTTCAGACCAGCTGGAGGTGATTTCTCGTAAGTAATTATTATATTTCCTAGTATAGCAGGTGACAGACATCTTTCACACTAAGAAGGTTAGTGGTTTCCCTACATGGCTGAACTCAACTGTTTTAACTCTCAAACACTATGGTGTTCAGTTCTGTTTAAGGACGACCTCACCTTATGTCATACGAGTAGTCATCCTCATGGTAAGACTCTGGGCACCTTTGTCAAGGGGCTAAGTTTTCTTAAAAGTAAAAGGAGAGTGTTGAACTTATCTGTTAAAACCCTGCAACTTCTAGTTCTGTGGCTATATAATTATGATTTGTTGAAATTCAACAAATCAAAAGACTTCCCTACATATACTCTGAATTCTTTTTTTTTTTATGCTTCCTCGGGTTTTTGGGGGTTTTTTAAATTAGTTTCAGGTGTGCAAAACAATGTAATAGTTAGACATTTTGCCCCTCACAAAGTGATAACCCCCTCCTCCAATCTGTTAGCCCTCTAACATCATATATAACATCATAAATAACAGTATATAACTGTTACAATTCCAATGATTGTTCCCTATGCTGTACTCCACATCCCGTGACTATATACCATATTTCCTCAAAAACAAGACCGGGTCTTACATTAATTTTTGCTCCAAAAGATGCATTAGAGCTTATTTTCAGGGGATGTCTTATTTTTTCATGTACAATAATCTACATTTATTCATTTATTCATATACAAAAATCTACCTTTATTCAAATACAGTCATGTCATCTTCTTCTGGAACATTGTCATAACTCTCCAAACCCTGAATTCTGGCCTGAATTTCTTACTACTCTATTTCCTGTAGAACCATTGGCCCCAATCTCTCATATCCAGCAATAGAGCTCTCCTTAAATAAGTGCTTCTTGTCCTTGTAGCCTGCTCACAGTGCATTGGCAACACAGCTGCCAGTGATTTTATCCCATGAGTTCTTTACCCTAGTCATGACCAAAATTGCAGCCCCCAAAATTCAGAAAATGTTTCTTTATTTCATATGAGTGCATTAAGTACATCCATTACAACACACGAC